TAATAATAATAATAATAATAATAATAATAATAATAATAATAATAATAATAATAATAATAATAATAATAATAATAATAATAATAATAATAATAATAATAATAATAATAATAATAATAATAATAATAATAATAATAATAATAATAATAATAATAATAATAATAATAATAATAATATTGTGTAGGAAGAATAAAAACAACATTACCGTGGAACACACCAGTCCCATATATTTATTGTTCTAAATAAGAAATAAACATGGAAATGACGTTCAATGAAAATAAACCTCACAAAGAAGAGATGATCATACCTTTCAATTCCTTCCCTTTTTTTTCGACTTAGAAATTCAAAAGATCGGCAAGATAATAAGCTGGAACATGGCACTTGAATCTCAGATGATGCTCTGCAATGCAATTCCTTTTACAAGCATTTCGACATTCAGTTAAGTCAAAATTTGGGCAATTAGCGACATATGAACATTTGGTTCAATAATTGTTACAGTATGTAAGACAAGTGATTTTTCCCATATTTCAGTGCTTGCTTTATTAATCACAAGTCCTTATGTATAGTATTTATTTTTCACTCTGCACGTAAGAAACGCTGTACAGAGTATGTCAAAAAATTAAATGAAATGTAAATTGGTGTTTAGTACCATCAGTGCCAAGAAAGACAAAGTTATGTGGCTGTAACAGTGCATCACAACCCCCTGAATTTGACTGATCATTAATCATTGCTTTATCATTTAAAGAAAACAAACGAAATGCGCTAAGATCCCACATATTCTAAACATTTATTTCTGCCCATTTTCCAATTGCATGAATATTACTAAAAATAACAAACTAAAAAACTAAACGAACACAATGGTTTTGACACTTTGGGTGGTGTTGTTATCGAGGCGATACGGTTGTACAAATGGTGCTATATCATTTACAACCTGCAAAGTAAACAAATACAGAAACAGATCTTTACAGTTTCCATATCCTCTCTTCGTAATAATTATACTATTCAATTGCTTAATAGTAGTGAGCACATCATGCGGGTACAATCATTGTTTCAACCATACACAATAGTATAATAAAACTGATTTATATTGTAGAAAAGTTAATGAATCAGAATATAGCCAGAAATAATGATAGGTTTTCAAATGACCCAGCAGAAATTTTTGAGAAAAGTCTAGACAAGAAAGTCCTAATGAGCTTATTGAGGCTAAACCCCTAACTGATTAGAAACCACAAAAGTTCCAAAGCATGCTCTTTTGTTCTATATAGTACCTCAGTAAGAATCAAATAAATTCTTGGATTGTTGGCGAGCATATTAATTCTTCATATCAATAGAAAAATGGGGACCGGTCAATACTTATTAACAGTTTGACTATTTTTAGCTTCAATAAGTCAATACAGTGACTTTAACAGTTATTGCAACGATCTCATCTTCATGTGAGTAGATCCAAAGACAGTTCCGATAAACTTAGTGAGGAATCCTCGTACTAGTTACACTAATTTGCTTGAGCCACAAACAGGTGAAAACCAGATATTATCTGGTTTCCGCTGAGCAGCAATTCTATTCCCTATTTTTTTTTTCGATTCTATTTTTTTTCTGCTCGAAGATGTCGCTCAAATATTGCTAATGGTATTTTTATAAATTGAATTCCGGGTGTGACACATATCATTATTTATTCTAGAAATCCTAGAAAACGATTCGGTTTGCAACAAAAAAAAAATCAATTTACTGGGAGAAATTATGGAAGGAAAACTCAATTTATTGAAGAAAACCATAAGAAAACTAAATTATTTGTTACTGCACCAGCTAAGGCAAATAGAAAAGTAGCAATCATCGAAGAAGAATGGCGTAAAAAGGAAAAAAAGTGCAAAATTGATTTGAACAAAATGATAAAAAAAACAAAGTGATACAAAAATGATTAATTTTCAAGCTTTACTGCTGACTTCGAAATTATTACTTTTCATATGCGGTGAGAAGAGATCAGTATAAACATATGGCGAAGAAGTTAATATATATAACTACGAAATATTATTCATTGGACCGCATTTATGAAATGCAGACTCATGAAAACAGGTTGGGAAATGTGGAAGAGAAAAAGCATAAGATTATTCATCATTTCATATGTTGGTATTTTGTATTAAATATGTTCATACTCACTTTTTTGCCTTTATCCTTATCTATCTGCATTTCCCTTTTGCTACAATTCAGCAGCAAATCGAAAGTTCTAGGTGGCATTTTGTTTGTGCTTGGTGCTGTATAGGATGTTGTGACTTTCGAAGAACAAGTTTGCTTATCGACATGCAATTCCAGCTTCTTTTGAAGAAAATCCCTTGGTATCTATAATCAGACAAACACTTGTATTAAGGATAAGTTAAAGATAGAGGATGAACGGTGGAAAACATTCCTTCATCGCTGTTGCTGGATTCATAAAGTGAACTGAATTAGTTTTACGCATAGTATTTTTTGGACTTGTCAACTCGAAAACTTCAAATTGCAAGTGTTTTGATCTTTGTTTTGAAAACCGATGTACCTTGCGGAGCCGAATTTTTTTTTTCGTTAGTTTATCTTATTATTCCTAACCACAAAAGAAAGTGAACTGTTAAATGTTAAATTATGTTACAAACATGATGAAGAAAGATTTCCCACCGAATTATAACCGTAGACCAGTGTCGGTTCGTTTAACTAACCAATTATGGCTAGTAATAATCCGTGCTTCACATTGAACAATAAAGAAGCTGTATAAATAGTAGGAGTTAAAGACGGTATTCATTAACTAATAAGTTCGCAAACCTGATTTTTAATAATCAATAATAAGGGATTTGTTTAGACCCACTACAAAGCACCGTTTGAAAGGTTATCATAATCAAAAATTTCTCGAGCAAGTTACTTATTTCAAATTAGAAATAGCTAAATTTCAATGAAATATACAAATTCATAAAAAAAAAGGAACGGAGTAAAAAATGTTGCACACACTGGAAAAGTGCAATGAAAAAAGACTAAACAGTTGAAACGTCCCCACCTCAATTTCGGTTGTTTATTCGGGAAATCATAAAAGGTCAATAGATGACTTGTCTAATAACATGCAAATTATAGCTGCAACTTATTGCTCAATTCAGTAACAATAATTCACCACTAACAATTCGCTAAATGAATTTTAATTGGGTCCAGACTGTTTGTCCATTTAATCAGACTTAATCTTTTTATTTTTGTTATTGTCCTGTTCTACTGAAAGAGGTGCATACCATTGTGAGATCCATATCAGAGAAAGTAACAGGCTGCAACTTCCTGGATATCTGACAACTTTCGAGAACGTGTCCATCATTTGAATTCTGACTGGTAGCATTTAAATGTTGGAACGATGTGCTTGGCATACAGTCTTCTACTACGGACACATTTCTATACTCTGATCTGTAACCAGTTGAATCAAAATCAAAAACATATCAAATTAGAAGACTGGGAAGATGTGTAACAAACAGAGTCAGACGTTAAAAAAATGAAAATAATTTGGGATAGAGCTATTTAGGTTACTTTTGATAACAATAGCATATTTCATGTTACATTTCTCTCTTGGGAATTTTAAATAATGGATACCTTCTCGACCGACCGAGTTTACTAAAGCTTTAATCGGAGTTTTTATTGAAGGAAAAGAATTGTATCGATTTCAAAACGAACGATCGATTTTCATATCCTGATGGAAAGCCTTATCTGGAACCTTGACCACTAGAAGTGTAAGGTGTTCTCATAAATTAACCAGATCAATTTTGCGACAATTATTAATCAGTTGAAAAAAGGAAAGGAATGATCATAGTTGCTTATTACCGTCTTGGAACAATGATATAAATGATAATTTATTTACTACACTTACCAATTATGAAAGCCACTTAATAAATTATGACTCTTTTTACGAAAATTCACGACCCTTTGAAAATGAATAAATTTTTCGTCATTCCAAACTACTCTACACTGCGGTTAGAAAGAGTCCTTCTTATATACTATTTTCGTCTCAATAAGTTTTCCACTAGAAGGACTATCAGTTAAGAATTATAGAAATCATATGGACTGATAAGCGAGCAAATCATAATATTCTACAGTTATACATTAACAATACTTCCACCTATCGCATCCGAAAAGATGAATAACCTCAAGATTCTATGTTCTTTTGATTTTCCCTAATCCTCTTTCCTACAACCTATCCCTGTGCTCCTCCAATTCTTCATATGTTCGTATTTAATGTCAAAAAAGTTATCCTACATTTTCGACCATTGGAACGGAAAGTTGCTGGGGATCATAGCATGTCGAAGTCAAAAGTTCAATTGTCAATTCAAATCCCAACTTACATTGAAAACTCTCGAACTATAGCCACTTACCATCTTCCACAATAAAAATGACTCTTAAAGTTTTTCCCAGTTTCAATTTCTAACCCCTCCTCTCAGTTTCCCTCCTTCCTCAACAGATTAAAAAATTGGAAACTTTTTGAATCTGTCGGTGTAATGAAATATACCTCTCTTTTTGATTAGACGTTAAATGTCGAGTATGATCGATATCCATAGACGACACATTTCGTCTCTTCAAGTTGTTGAACAGAGTAAGAAAATTGGCATACTTCCTGGTATCAATGCCACTGAAGAAAGCCTTATCAGCTGGTCTTCCTTCAACTGTATTATCATCGTTGCCAATATCATTATCATCGCTGCCACTTCTCACATCCTTAATTCGATTATGCATAACAAGACATTCTGCTCTGTCTTTGCATTTCAGCAACTGCAATTAACAATTCGACAATACATTTAGAACAATCTAACTCAATTCAAAATTCACAACGAATGTGCAAAAATGACAGACACTGAAGTACAAGAAACAAAATTTCAAATAATCCCGGATTAAAACTTCATCTGAAATTACTTATCCGGCATCATATGAGAAATGATATAATAGTACACTTAAGGGTTTACGATCCCCGACGTACGGTAAATCTGCCCATCAGTAATTAGTCCAATTTGGGATACACAAAGTTCATTCTAATTCGGATGGATAGTTGAATTTTCCTTTAAAGCCTAGGATTTCCCGAAGTTCTAATAAAAACTGGCAACTGCAACGGACAAACATATGTTAGCAACCCCCTCCCTTCTCCTTTTCTCCATTTCTCTGTCGCCGTGAAATATGGTGAGATGATAATTTTCATGCAGTCCACGTGAACAGACCTTGGCGGCGCATTACTACCGTCATTATCGGGGTTTGGAGGCCAAATGGTCGTCTGTCGTCACTTCTTGGGTGGTTAATTTCATCTTGTAGGACCTCTTACGTTAATCATCTATCCTTTTGTTTAATGTATATGTATACAGGAGATTCAATAGCTCTCGACTCGGACATCACGAGAGTTCTACGACTGCTCAACAACGTGGTCTACGTTAAATGGACCAATTAGAAGTGAAAGAAGTATGCTCCACTTCCGGTGAAAGTTTCTCTTCTTCGGACGGAGATGATGATGATGATGGTTCGATTAATTGTGCATGCATTATTTATATTACACTTGTTTCTTAATTTTCGATGTGTTTTTTTAGCTTCATTAATACTGGCATTCTTTCGGTACTGATTTTGCATCTTTCAGAATCTCGCATAACGCGGACAGAAATGGACGACCAGAACACAGTTGTCTTTGATGTTGGAAAACAGCAGAAAGTCTGTAATTTCATCAAATTTTTTCAGAATTAACGACAATGTAGTGACAAGTAACCGTGCATACTGGCTTCTTGATAGGAAGATAACTGGAGAATAATTGCAGTAAAGACAATTTTGTTGAGTGCTCTTTCTTATTCCCTCTTATTTAAAATGATGGCGAAAGCCAAGAAAAGGTCGTCCTTGATATTAAATTCTTCATAATTCATAGAAAAAGTTGAAACGTACGAAACGTGAACTGCGAGCAGAACATGCAGTGAAGCATGAAAGGGATCGGATGGGCATGATATTGCCAGATCCGGTACAGGATCAACAGCGGGAACGCAATTTTGTTCGTCTTGCAACAAAGTTTGTTTTTTTCTCAAATCGTTTTTATTAATACATTTGATTTTGCTTTATTGTTTTTAACTTAATGAACTTAGTACATCTCTACAACATTCCTTGTTATTAGTTCTGATATTAAAGCAGATACTTATTGTATAGTGGTTTATTGATTCAGCGGAAACATTTTCATATATTTAGCAAAAGTATAAGTATATTCAGGCCAAGAAAAATTATATACAATAGTATACTTTCTTTGATCGTTTCTAACTTTTTGTATTTAGTGCAATAAGCATCTGTTTTAATATTGGAACCTCTTGTTGAGTCTCCTATTGATAGTGCATCTATCGCAATTATAAAGAATCTAATGTGAAAGATTTCTTGGCTGTTGATAGTGCAGCATCTACCTATTGATAGTTATGTTAGGAGCAGATAATCAATTTAGGGAAATACTTGTTTATAGAGGTGTTGTCCAACTATTTAATGCAGTTGCCGAACGACAGAAAGAGCTAAACGATATATCAGCAGCAAATATGACAAGGAAAAAACGCCGGTTACGTGGTATTTCTACAGAAAGCTTCAACAAGACATTAAGGGGATCTAAAACAATTAAGGTACCTATTTTCAAATACTTTTCTGCGGTTGCTGTAATTCTAGTGATAAAAGTCGAGGACGTGAAATTTTCTTCGAGCTAGATATATATATTGCATATTAGCGAACTTCGCTTAGATCCTCACGTAATGTAAAATTCAGGATGAGCTGGACAATAAAAAAGAAGATTGGCTATCTGATGGTCAGATATCAATTAAATCTGAAACAGATGACGACTTAGATACTTCCGGAGTAAAGACGGAACCAGAGAGTGATTCGGAATGAAGTGCTTGGGTAATACTGTGTTATATGTTTGTTTCAGCCGAGGAAATGGCAGTAAACTGAATTTTTGATTTTCTTGTATACTTGTTCAAGTTCACCTCCTGATGACAGTGAATCTATGCATAAATGGAGTTTAGGTGGAAAGAAAGTCATAGCAGTTTACTACATTTTACTGTTATGAGTTCAAAGCAGATATATAAAAAAATTATGTCTCTGTTTCTTTTTCAGTTACATACTTTTGATATGAGAAATAAATTTCTTTTTGAACAGTTGATTTATGCATCTTACTTTGTATTCTGTGTTTTTATTTTGGAAATTGTGTCGACAATTTTTCTTTTTGAAATTTCAAATTTCTTTTTAGAAGTTTCGAAAGCCAGAATTTTTCTGGAACATCTTAAAATTTTAAAATTTGAATTTCTTGCTTATAACTAAGTTTCTTTAGAGGTTTCTTTAAAGTTTGGAA